TGCAGGGCTGTGGGGCAGAGTGCTCAGACTCACCGCTCTCCTTCACAGATCACGCTCAGCCCAACAAAATGATAAAAACCAGGGCAGGGCAGGGACAGCTGGTAACGGAAAATACAGGAGGCGACTCCTTGTTTCCCCAGGGACATGTCCATGCTTTCCCCATGCTTTTCCCATGGCACTCCATTGCACCGTCGTTGTCTTTTGTTGCATGTAAGGACCACTGTAGTCCTTGGGGGAACTGCTGAAGACAGCTGAAGAGGATGGAATAGCTGAGCCTCACACACGACCCTGCCTGTGCATTTCCTTCTGATTTGTCCCAGCAGTAGCAATGAGACAGCAAAAAGAGAAACAAACAAGAAGACAAAGAACAAAGCACAGCCTGGCACGAGGATTTTAAATTTCAGAATAAAGGCACTAAGCATCCCACGGGATAAATCATGCAATTGTCACTTTTTTGCCCAGTGCCGCTGAAAAGAAATCCACCTCTGGCAGATGTGGAGCGGCACACAGCTGTGCCCTGGCTCCCGGCTGCTTGGCGCCCTGCCGCTTTGTGAGCCAGGGCCTGGGGGTGGGACTGGCACAGGGACTGCAGCAGCCAGTGCTCACATGCGGACAAGGCGGTGCGGGATAGATGGCATGGGAGGTGGAGCAGAGAAGGGAAGGACGGGTGTTCTGTGGGTTTGTAGCAGTGCCCATCCGAGAGGGGTGCTGGCATCTTATGTTGGCCACGTCCCAGGGTACTACTGTGAGTAATGCAAGCTTTGATCTGTTCTCTAGGACAAAATTCCAAGGTGTGTTTTGCCACGTGTTTCTTAACAGGCAATCATTTCTCTTAAAAGCTCAGAGAAAATAAGGTGTGTTCTTTTTTTTTTACGTGAATTAGCTATTCCTGGCAAATTTTGTGTTCTTCCCACACGGGTGATTTCAAAGAAGTATTTCCAAGTACACTGCTTTGCCCAGAGCAGACTGTGAAAATGCCATTGAAGAGCCAGCTCACCCCTAGGCCCAGGTTCTTTGCAATTCTCTCACATCTCCAACTGTCTGAAACCCTCTCCGAGAGGATTTAGATTGAATTTTGTGCTGATTTTCTACAAGTGTCTTATGTCTTCCCAACGAGTGATGAAAGAGATTTGTTTCATGCAGCATTGGGGATGCAAATAGCATTCCTGTTTCATTGCAGTGCTTGAAAGGGGGACCAGACAGTTGCCATGGCAACAGCACATCTGAGCCAGCTGTAGTTGCCTTGGCAACGGAAATGATGAGAGCCAGCAAAAATACTCCCAAAGGAAAAACCATTTTAAAACACACACAAAAATTCCCTTAAACTGAAATAAAATATTGCTCTGGAATTTCAGGAGCTTAGAAACAAGGAGCAAACCAGGGGAGAATGCCAATACCCTCTCATGGTCCTGGGGCTTTCCTTCCTTACATTTTTGAGAGTCAAGAAGTTGGAAGTAATCCAGTGATGGCCAGAAAGGGGGTGAGAGTAAATTCACCATACCTTTGGCCTGGTCTGCTGGCCCTGTGGGAACGCTCTGCACTGACAAATCTGCACCAGGAAGGCACAAATCAGTACTCAAGTCAGGTCTCTCTCTCATTTGCAGCAGCTCTCCTTCTGTAAAACTAACCGTTCCTCATGCAAGTGCTTCCAAATAATGAGATTCAGAGGCTCCTTGGCCCCTGCAACAGGCATTGGTTTTTTTTTCAGGAAATAGGGGGAAAGGTGCACTGCTGGAGATGTCCAGCACTCGAGCCCTTCTTACTGGCCTTCAGCATGGCCCAATGTGTTTGATATTGCACTAAGAAGAGGAACCCATTACAACCCACATCTCATCTGGATGCTTTGTTAGTGCTTACTTGTAACTCTTAGCTTTAATGCTATGGATAATCAGGGAGAATGACTGAAGCAGAGAAAGAAATGATGCTGCAGAAGGAAGGAAGGCAAATAACTTCAGCATCCAAGGAGATAAAAAGATCTGGGGGTCTCATGAGAATACAATAAGTCAAACACAGGGGTTGAGATTGGGAGTGGGGGTAGAGAAGAGAACAGATGGAGGCAGAAGCCAACAGGAATAGATGGGGTAATAGGGGAGGGTGAGGCAGGAGAGCCTCAAATTGGGAAATGCTAGGTTAGAGGGCGGATGCTGGAGCTAGTGTGTGTGGTGAAATGAAAAGCAATGAGGAGAGGAACAGGAAAGCGTGCAGAGCCTGCAGCAGATGGAGGCAGGCAGGATGGAAGCAGGCAGAGATGAGAGGACCGATGGGAGCAGGGAGGCAGACATGGGAGATGAGGGTGAGCAAGCTGGGGGCAAAGCAGGGGCTTGGGATGGGGGGAGATGGAGCCTTGCTCTGTACGTACAGGGGAAAGGATTGTTGAAGAGAAGCAGGAGGTGTGAAGGCCAGATAATGTACAAGGTGATTTGCAGAATAACATACTTTTTTGTTCTTGTTTGTAATATTGCTATATTTCAGCACATTTCCTTGTCTTTTCTAGGATCAATGCATATGTGAATAGGTTCGCTCATCACACTGTTGTGAGGGCTGTTTCATCCAATAGGTTGATGTAGTTAAATTTTCCCAGTTACTTCTTTCCCTGCTCTGAATCAACAGCTACTGTTGCCATTTTTTAATATGTTTTCAAGGTACAGACTTCTATTATTTTCTTACTGAAAGCCATTTTAGAAAAACAGTTCAGCATCTCAGGTGCCTTTGAATTGTCACTGTATTTTCTACCTTCTCATTTTGGGATCACAGTTCCTGTCCTTTGCCTTAGTCCCACTCCTCTCTTTCTGTCTATAAACAGGGAAACTGCTGTTGCAGCCTGCACACACCTGTAGTTTGAGTTGAACCCCAGGGACTCTGCAGTAACTAATGGTAGTGGAGGACTTGTCTGAGGATTCCTGCTTAAAGGAATAATAAACTGCTCACGTTTACCGAGAAGGAGAAAGAAAAAAGTCTTTATTCAAAATGTAAATCTCTTCCTGCTGAGGAGCGAACCCAAAAGTCAGCCTTCAGGATATAAATATTTATGCCTTTTGCATAAACAGCAGATGTAACATTTCCAATTAACTGTCGATCTTTCCATTTCTCTGGCTGCTGCTGCTTTCTCTCACAATATTGGAATGAAATATGGATAGTGGTCTGCTTGATTTGCCTCAGTTCAGATCTGTCACACATTTCCACAGTCAGTAAGATGAAATTGTTCCTGAAAATGTTTATTTATCAGAGCCTAACAATTTTCCTGTATTTTTTTTTCCTTGAATTCAATGTCAAATGAATTCTGCTGAAAGATATGAGATTCTCAGTCACGATAAAAAGACAATGGAAAAGCAGAAGCAGGCTCAGGTGAGTGCTCAGGCACAGCAGCACACTTCAGCCAGCTGTAGAAGCCCTGAGGACAACGGAGACTCCAGTCATTGTGACCCATTTGGCCCCTGGCCTTTCTACAAAGGCAGCCAGCCTGGGGCCGGTTTGCATCCAGCGAAGAGGTTTTAGGATGTAGCCACCTGTTCACTAGGAACTGCTGCCATCGGTTCTTTGGTATCAGTTTTCTCAGGTGTCTGACATTCAATCCTGCTAATAGCAGCCTCTCACTTCCATGACTTCTTTCTCTCTGGGAGAAGGTGTGAACTGTGCAAGTGAGAAAGTGAACCCTACTAGAACTTGTAAACATCAGTCTGAACTGGCATCATGCCTGCAAAGCAGAAGATTTCACTGGAGCATGGAAAGGGGAATGAGAACAAAAAGCAGCAGCAGGGCAGCAGAGAAGCTGTAGTAGGTTTAAAAAAAAAAAAAAAAAAAAAAAAGCCAGAAAGCAGGAGTAAGGGGAAGGAAAAGCACTTCTTTTGTGATTTGTCAGAAAGTGAGGGTCCCTCTGTGCTCCTCTGCTGAGGATGCTTCTGCCTGTTTGCTGGTCCTTTTATCTGTCCTAAAACACAGCGAGGTTCAGCTCAGCCCCCCCCCATCTCCTGGGAATCTAAAAACTGGCTGGGGCATCGCTCCAAAGCAGGAGCTGTTTTTCAGCTGATCTGCCTTTCACCAGGGGCTCAGGCAAAGGGATCTCTGTCTCCCTGCCAGAGGCTGCTGTTGGTGAGGTTGGGGCATAAGCCAACCTGGCATCCCGCAGCTCTGCAGGTGTTGCTGCGGGGACTGGCTCTGCCTTAGCCATCCCTGTGGCACTGCGGGACTGAGGCAGCTGCAGTCCTCACTGCTCAAGGGCGCAACCTCCTCACAGGCTTCTGCTGTCTGGCTCCCGTTTTTCTCCAGGCTCCCTGTGCTTTGAGCTGCTTTGCTCCCCAGGCTCTTCTGTCTTCTGTATTCTCCCTGACTCTGGATTTTTGCAGTTGGCCTTGCATAGCGTGAGGGCCCATTCTTGTCACTGGAAAAAAGTGTCTAAATTCACAAATGACTGGAAGCCTAATTGCTCAGTCAGCACATTTTTTCACTTTCCGCTCTGCCCAAAGGCATATGTAGTGGCGCTTGTCTATATTCAAGCGTAGTCTCAACTCAATCATCTTTGACCACTACTCAGGTTATATGCATCAAATAATTACCACCATTTACAGCAAGTGAGCCAACCAAGTGCTCTTTGATTACAAGTAGGAGCTAATTTTGCTTAGCTCAGTGCAGATCCTTGGATGCGCAGGATTACATTGGCAGTGAGGCAGGTATATTAATGTGTGGCTAAGCTGTAGTTACTGGTGGCTGCATGCTACCTTCCTCTTCATATTGATCTGTCTGTGTGACCAGTTGTATCTGCACAAACCTGAGGCAGCACCAGCAAAATGTCTGGGCTTTGCTTTTAGCTAGGATCAGGAGGCAGATCACACTGCTGTTGCCATTGCCACCCCTGTTGTGCCCTGTTCCTGACAGAGCAATCTCTGCTCCTCCTGCCTGGGGAGCTGCACAGGCATGAGGCAGCTCTGGGAACTGCTGAAAGTGGATCAAAGGGGATTGACAATTCACAATGGAGCAATGTCAAAATGAGGCTTAAAGTCAGCTTTTTTAAATCACAAACATTTATTTCTCTTCTTGGTTCAGCCCCTTCAGTGTCGCTGACTCTGGTATTTCTGAATTTTCACATCTGGATGAAGAGGCATACTGGTTTAATGGCTTTAATTAATCATATAACAATGCATCCCTGCAGCACCAGATTCAAATTATATTACTGGTAGGCATTGGCCTGGGTCCTCAGGTTGAGGGTGCTCTGAGGTCAAGTCAGTGGCTTGCAGCTCTGTGCACATTTTAGTGCAGGGCTCCTAGGACAATGTGGCTGCTTGTTCTGGCACTGGAACAAACTGTCAGCTGGGCACACTGAGTGTTCCAGCTCACGGCTCTCCCCCGAGGCTGATGCAAAGGGAATGAAGGCACTGTCACGATTCCCAGATTTGAAGGCGATCTGTCATCCTCCCAAGAGTTGTCCTCATTTATATGAATCCTAGCAGGTCCTTATGAAGCCCAGGATCTCGGTCTCGCATGCCTGCTGCCTGCTCTTCCAGAAGCAAAAGATGTTACTCTTCACCCTTTGTTCTCTATGTTCTTCCTGGAACAGATTCTCAGGATTTTAAGGTATCCGGTTTTTCCAGTGCTAAAGGTACTGCATTCTCTCACATGCCCTGTGGGTGCTGAGGTGACCCGCAGGCACAATCAGAAGCAAACTTCCAGCCTGTCCTCCCACCACCTTGCTAGGCACAAAAGCAATTGCAGAGCCTGTGGCTGGAGAAACCCACCAACAAATGGTCTTCAAGGGCTTCCTTAATCACCTTTTCCCAGCACCTCCATTGCAAAGATGGAATTCAAAGAAAATTGCCAAGACCTGATCCCAGCCTACAGACGGCCTGCCAGACAGCTCTGTGTTAAACACTCCCAGATTTGCTTTATGACCCCTGTTTCGAGGCCTCAGGGAAACATTATGGTATGAACCACAGAACTGGAGCACTGATACCTTTCTGCTAGTGTGGGACTGCAGTTGTTTTTCTTGCTTTTTAGGATACAGGAATCTTGTGTTACCAAAATCCCATGTTTAACAATTGATAGAGCTTGACTTAACCCTACTGCTCTAGCTTTGAGAAGGAGTTGGTTCCCTGCTAGGAACATTTCTCAGCAGGTCCCTGGAAAGTGGCATTTCAGTAGGTGACACAGAAATGTAAAGGGACCCTGCCTTTGAGGCTGGTGCGTACAGCTGTGAATGCATGCCAGCGCAGAAGTAGGCGAGATGCTGTTCCACAGCTCCCATGTAGCCTGAGAGACCCTTAAGGTCCCTTTTGAGAAGGATGTAGGCAGTCTGTGCGTTACATCATTTCCCTTGCAAATATGCTCACGCTGCATTTGGATTACCTCATTCTTGCCAGAATTTAGATTGTGCTTCTGTGGCCAGGCCCTTGAATTTGCTCACTGATCAGCCAAACTCACAGAGCTGACTGCAGAATCCTTCCGATGCAGACGAGATCCAACCCACCCTTCCCCCGTCTTCCCTGCACCCTCTTACTTTGCCCATTTGTGTCAGACAGAGGGACTCAGCAAATAAATATCCTGCTTGTTGGCAGGTTGTCCAGGCATTTAGCTTGGTAACAACACAGAATAATATATGCCCTTTCAGTTATTTTGCCCATGTACAAATTTGGCTGCAGGCTGTTTTATCGCCTGTTTAATATTTTGTCCAACCTTCCAGCTTCCTTCTTGAGAGGAAGCGGTCTGCAGGTGCAGCGAACACTTTTTGTTCCTTTATGACTAGAAGAATCTACAATTCCTCTAATGCTTTTAGTCTGACTTGATTCTGGCTCACCCACCTGCCTGCTTTCTCTGGAGGTGAACATTTTCAATAATTTACTTTAGAGCTGTTCTATCATCTTGCTATTTATTTCTGCCATAAATTATGCCCAGAGGTTAGGAAGCTCTTATCTTCCCACTCACAAAGGAACCGAGGAAAAATACTCTACAGGGCAGAGAGGCTTCTCTGGGTGGTTTGTAAATATTTCCAGAGGCAAGAGAATGGAAAGAGCTGCAATCCCTACCCTGCTAGTATCGCCCGACACAGCCTGCATTTTGTGGGTTGTGCAATAGGGAGCAGTTGTGCACACACAGCCCCTCTCTTCCCACCGTGATTTACATCCAGCTTCTATGAGATACACCTGCTAGTGCTTCAGAGCATGGAAAGGAAATAGTAATAATAAAAAAAAAGCCTTGAGAGATGATAGTTTACTCCTCACACACTCGTTTGACTCATTAAAATCAGTGGAGAGATTTTCAGCGACTTCTCTGGGATTTGGATCAGACCCTAAAAGCATGAGCTCTGAGAGCTGGACTGCTGCCAGCTAGCTCAAGAGACACTGAATTCCAAGCAAATGAGTTTTCATTTTTAATTCAGAAGCTAAATAAAATTGCATTTGCAGAGCATTTGGATGGGATAGCTCCAAGAAAAATCTAGATAACTGAAGGAAGTGATACTTCTGGTGTGCTTGCCGCTTCTTAGCAGTACCCTAAGGGGCTCATTGCTCTGCAAAGCAGTATCAATTATCCAGCAATGGATGCTACTACTTTTCTTATTACCACAGAGCCTAAATGCTCACTGTAGAGCTGAACTCCAGTAAACTGGACAGTAGAGAAGTATAAAGCAATGGATGGCCCTTGCCATGCAGAGCAATTTCAAGCCAAGATGGACCATTTTGTGCTGTTTGCTGATAAGTGCTGCACCACGCAGGGGGGCATTGCTTTACTCCTGCTTACATTTTTAGTGCCCTGGGAGGTGATAGGGAATTCTGTGCTGCTCATTTGGTAGAAAACATAAAGCATAACTCCTGTTTTTACCACCCAAATTCCACTATGTTTTGTTAGGAAATGCCTGCAGAAGTTTGATCAACATGCAGGTGAACTTGATTTACTGTAGAGGCTCATTTACAAGCGCAGTGCTGCCTGCACTGGTCAGGTGGGTGCTTTGTGCCAGGGCTGTATGCTCAGGTCTGGAGAGAAGGGGAGAGTCAGCCCACATATCTCAGAGCTACATAAGCACATGTTTTTCTCTGGTTATCTTTTCTGCATCTTCCTGTTTTTTAATCATCATACCCTGACTTGCCTCCATTTCCTCTCTCTCTTTTTATTCTTTGGTCTGTTCTGATAGCATCACCTGGTCATCCTCAGCAAGTAACTCCTCTGGAGAATGGCAGAATTACGAAAATAACAATTGTAAAGATCTGCCTATACTTCACTTGGTTTGTGAAGTGCAAAAATAGACGTAACTATTTCATTTGTTTGGGAGCTACTGTGCTTCCTGAGTTCAGGGGGGCCATCCCCAGGGGAGCTGTACTTGGGTGCTCCCAGACCCATGCAGCAAAGGAAGCTGTAGAAATCCTGTAAGAAAAGATTTTTTCTTGTTTCCATCTTCCCCCTGCCTGTGAGAGATAAAGCAGCTGACATGACCAAAGAAAGGACAGGAGAGGGAAAGTGACCGTGGAACTTGAGGGAGATGCTGGCTGTGGTCCCACAGCCGTGCTCATCTCTGTCAGGTACAGCGAGAAATCAGGCTGAAGAGGAGATCTCAACAAACAAATCAACTAAATGAACAAACTGGGAGATAAAGTACAGCTGCGGATCAGTAGCTAACAAACACACCTCTGTCTCTGCACTGCTTTCTCCTGGGCAGAACGGGAGTCAATTACCCGCCTTCCAACAAGCTATTGATCGAGCCGCTGCTGGGTATCGAATCTGCGGCCCTGTCCGCCCTGCGTGTGGCTCTTTGATTTTCTCTCCCTCTGTAGCAGCACGTGGATGGAAGCCAGATGAGCTAGCACAGGACTATCGATCAGCCCGCATCTCTCCTCCTCCTCCTTCTCTTCTTCACCCAGTTGCCATGGCAACCCTACAGCAGCAGCAGCAGCAGCAACTGCACTGTTTACCTGGCCCATTTATTTTCCTTTTCAATATCTTTCCCTTCCCCCCGCTGCTCTCACCTTGGCATGATATTGGCAAAGCACTCAGCAGCTGTAAAAGGGATGAGTTTTTATGACTCTGAGAAGGACAATGCAGTTCTCAGCTCTACTTTATCACCCGCTTGCTTCATTTAGTTGACTTGTTTGTGAGGAGTCAGTGCCCGTAAACAACAGATATCTCAGGTACCGACTAGATCATGCTCCAGTCGTGCAGGAGGACCTGTCATTCTGAAATGCAGGACTCTTTCCTATGGCTGAATTATGCCTACGGTAAGAACCACATTATCCTTTTATATCTTGCCCTAGAGTGGTAATACAGAGGTGACAGCAGGTTTGACATCATTTTCCAGCTGTTAATTTCACACGGCCCCTGGGGCAGCACTACAGAACCACAAAGTGGACCAGACTTACTCTGGAGCCTTCAGTCATACCCATAACCTTGGTTGAGTCACAGTGCCCAGCAGGGTCAGATGCTGTGCCAAGAGCTGGCCCCAACAAAAGGCCTCAGCAAGGCACTCACCACAGCTTCCAGATGCATATCCTGAGTGGCTTCTGGCTTCACCCTGTTCCAGGGAGCTTTCAGTTTTCCCAGCAATCTTCCTAAGTGCCAACGCAGTTGTCTCCTTCCGCTTTCCTTGTACTGCTTCCATTGCTTGAAATTGCCTTCCTGTTCCTCAGCAGCATGACAAGCATACTTCCAACAGCAAATGGTAGATGTATGAACAGTGTTTAAGGAGTATTTAATCTCTCCCTGCCTGAAAATTTTACTTCTTGTACCAAATCTTCCATCTGCAGCTTCTCAGTGCAGGATTCTCTGCTGAAATGTAAGACAAAAAGGCTTTGTGCAGGGATATTGGTCTATGAGACATAAATAAAAGATATCTCTTAAAATGTAATACAGGTGTCCATTTCATTTCAAAGGTCTTCCTGGCTTTCTTTTAATTGAAATTCTTCACCCAAGTCTCACATTCCTGATTCTTTCCACTGCAAAGCCATCAAAACCTTCCAGGAGGCTCCTAGTTTTCCTTGCAATTCAATATGATTGATACAGGATGTGAAAGATCACTTGATGTTATCAACTACAGATTCTCTCTTCTTGAAGCAGCAAGCTACAGGATAAATTGTGGAATTTGCTACTTCACTGTATCATTGAAGAAAGTATTGTATTTTGAAGTGCTCTCAATTGTAATCACCAAAGGAAAGCTTCCTGTGATGTGCTGTAATGTGCTGTGAGGCATGAGAGTCTGACTGGGGTCAGTGGGGAGCCTTGCTTGGTCCTTCTGTTTTCCTGTCTCCTAGAGCAGTGTGATGCTGGGAGTATTGCAGAGCCTTCATCCCTTGGCAAGTCTCACCCCATCAGATCCATTACCAAGCTGCCAGTCATCTATCTTTACGAAGCAGGAGCTCAGACACTACAGAAGATGGACCATGGATGCATTTACAATTATAGTCTTAGATGGACTGTGCAAAATGAGATGGAGCAGGGAGTGACCACTACTAGACACCAGGCCCTGGCCTCACTGGAGCGACAATTAATTCCGAGCACCAAGAGAGGGAAATATCTGACTGGCTGGAGCAGTGGTCTGATGTGACATGGAAAGAAGCATGATACTAATGCAAATCGTTAGTACTTATTAACTAATTAAATTGTTGTAATGCCCATAAGGCACTTAACACTTTCCAGGCGCAGAAGAGAGCCCAGTCTCTGCCCTTAGGAGTAGAAGGTCCAAAGGTAAACACAGAGGAATGGTGGAAGAAAAACAATTAACACAGAGCACAAAGGGTGTAATGAAAAGAAGCACAGAGCTTTGCAGTTACAATCTATGTCTGGTTTTGTGAAGAAAGAAAGCCTATGTGATTACAAGATCTTTGTGTATGGGGGAGCATGCGTGTATGATAATATGTCTGTCTGGTGCATGGATAATTTTCAACTTCAAGCAAATCTGATGGAGGAGAAGCTGTCTCAGAAATACTCAGTTGTTAAAATAAGAAGCTGGGGGGGG